TCTGACAACGAACCAACCAAGAACTCACAGCCAAATAAATATGTACAGGCGCCACGCCAGGTCGTCGAGTGGAATCCAAAGGGAAAACGACGAACTGGGCGTCGGTGTCGAGGGTAACATGGAGGAGATCGTATGAGGAAGAAATGAAAACTTCTGGGCAATGGTGGAGCCAGGTTAAAAAGCCTGCAGAGAAGAGAGTTAAATGACGAAGTGCTACTGAAGCCTTATGTTCCACTAGGAACCCAAAAAACAAATAATAAAACAATAAATGCACTTCTAAACAGCTAACCCTCTAATGACCCTGAGTAAATGAATATCGTTTACTGCAAAAACTAGTTGAAATAGCTAATCCACTTTACAAATTTTTGCTAAAGCGATTAGCAGGTGAGTTTATCACAAACATGTGATATATCAGTACAATACATTACGATTAATCTAATCATACACCAACTTGTCATGTTTATTTTTATGAATTGTAACAATGAATAAGTGGGCTTAAAAGATAATCGACATAATGAAAGGTCAAATCAAACGTTAATTCAGAAGTCAAATCATACACAGAAAGACGACTAATTATATTAATCACCCTTAATATTAAAGCTGAATTATCAACAACAAGAAGAAATTATTTTTGAATGCATGAAATACGTTGATAGAATTCCTCTCAGATACAACTTCAATTGGTTTTGTCAACAGGTTGGAAAGATGCATGCAAATCAGTTTTGTGACCAAATTCAATTATGTGTTTAACTACAGACGAAGTTGGACATCTGTTGTCTATGTCACTGACATCATTCGATTTGATTTGTTGTTGTAACCACTTTGGAATGTGCTGTGCAACTCTTACTTGCATAAATCAATGAATCTTTGCTATACCTATATGACTAACATGTACATATAAGGTGAAAAAGGGAATCGGATGTAATATGATTGTTTAAGTACTGCGAAAGTGTACAGCAGTGCATAAGTTGGGAGTTTTTCATTATGTTGTCCTTTGTTCTATAGTATGTTCTCTGAATGGCTGATCTAAGTCTTTTTTTGGTTGTCAGACTCTATGAATCTCCTATACACAGCAGTGTAATGTAGACATCTTACTTTCAACTTGACTGAATAATGGATCTTCTTTGTGTGGCGTTTGTATTCCTACTAATAAATTTCAGGGGATAATAGTTGCTTAATGATAATTTGATGGGCTTTTGTATTTCTTCCTCTAAAGTATCGTTTGTTCACATTAGTTAAATCCGGTTGAACAGACACTTGACTAGTATTTATTTATGCTGAAGTGGATAGAAACTATAGTCATTTAGGCATTTTCTTGTTCAGATAGATTTCCTATAGATGGATAGTTCTGTTAATCCATGTTACCAGCGGTTTATGAGAACACATAAGAAAGATAGGCAGTCATCTTTTTATTTCTTACATGTCAACGATATACTACCGCGAGCTTTATTCATTTAATTGAGAATCAGTATCACGTCTTCCACTTTATCACAACTAGTTACAATATCATCCACATATTTTTTGTAAACAGAAAATTTTGCGATCGAATTTTCAATCAAACTCTTGAAGTACAATACATCAATATGTGCTAGTAAACCACTCCACACCATCGATCTAACAGAAATGTTCACCCTCGAATATAAATTTAACTTCCTGGTACAGAGATAAAGTACCTCCTCAAGATAAGAAGGCAAAACCGGCAATGGAATATTGTTTATAGAGATATAGCATATAAAATGTCAATAATAGTAACCGAATAATTTAAGCCAAGAGATTACATGGTTTTGTTCTTTAAATTAATATCATGACGATATTTGGTTAGATCAAAAGTATCTCTCTTCATTGGGATCTAATAACTCTACCAACTACTGAGTGAGTTTGTGAGCTGGAGATTTTCAGACTGACATAATTAGAGGTAAGGGATTATCAGCGTTGCATGTTTTCAGAAAGTTGTGAAAATAAAAATTCCACAGGTTTTAATGAATTGACTGACTGTTACTTTTCCTTTTACAGACCATAAGGTTTCTTTACAGCAGTTTGTAATAAATTTCTTTTCATCTTTAAGAATGGATAACATTTTGCTTTGAAACTCACTTCCACAGATAACAACAACAAATGAACCTTTATCTGAGCTCAAAATAATGATATCAGTGTCCTTTTGAGGTTTGAAAGTGTTCAGACTTTAGAATGCTATTTCATTTAAGATTAGTTCCACACAGCGGATGAACAATATATACTAACGTAGCTCTTGACAAGTCCGGATCATCAAGAGACGTTGGAACAAGCGACTGAAATTGGTCATAAAATTTTCCATATTGTGCTTGGATTGCTAGATCAGAAATTTTCATGCGGGAAACACAAAATTTAGATCAATCTGATAAGGCTTCTTTCTAGTAGGTGGATAGTGACACAGAAGATAAACTCATCACATATTTGTTTGCATGAACATGAAGGAAATTTTTATATGTTTCTTGTGATTAAATAGTTTTTTCAACACCTTGGCTGTTGTCTTCAACTCAAGAGAACTGAAAACGTTTAGGAAGATCATGTGAAGGAGCTGAAAGAAGAAGTAAATATATGAATTGACAAGAATTCTTGTGAATTTTCTCCTCCTTACTCGACATGCGACTTCGTAAGACCAAACGGGTTAAAGATATTCGACTTCAGTTTACATGGTCTGGGTAACTAGTCAGAGTGTTTTGAGAATGTGTTATATGAAGTGAATGATTTACAGAAGTCAAATTCAAAAATAATTTTACAGTATAGGCTGATGAGGTCACCCTTTTAATAGTGTCTATGGAGAGTCTACCATTGAGTTTACATGTACATGTTAGTCATATAGGTATAGCAAAGATTCATTGATTTACGCAAGTAAGAGTTGCACAGCACATTCCAAAGTGGTTACAACAACAAATCAAATCGAATGATGTCAGTGACATAGACAACAGATGTCCAACTTCGTCTGTAGTTAAACACATAATTGAATTTGGTCACAAAACTGATTTGCATGCATCTTTCCAACCTGTTGACAAAACCAATTGAAGTTGTATCTGAGAGGAATTCTATCAACGTATTTCATGCATTCAAAAATAATTTCTTCTTGTTGTTGATAATTCAGCTTTAATATTAAGGGTGATTAATATAATTAGTCGTCTTTCTGTGTATGATTTGACTTCTGAATTAACGTTTGATTTGACCTTTCATTATGTCGATTATCTTTTAAGCCCACTTATTCATTGTTACAATTCATAAAAATAAACATGACAAGTTGGTGTATGATTAGATTAATCGTAATGTATTGTACTGATATATCACATGTTTGTGATAAACTCAGCACTTTATCGCCTTAGTGAAATTTAGTGTTAATAAACTGTTCAGGAAAGTAGTAATTCTCTGATAACTAATCATATGGCAGATAAATTAGCATTATTCTGTAGTCAATCATCAAGTCATGTCATATCATGAATTGAAAGAATAAGGAATTTGTAGAGCGTTGAGTCGTGATCCAGTGACTGAATAATTAACGTGTTCGCCTTGAAACCTGAAGGTTTCGAGTTCAATCCTTTGGAAGGTTGTGAGTATGTACTTCTGAGGAGTTCCATATTAGGATGAAACAACTGTCCAATGTTTCTCCAAATGATGCCAGTTCGTGTTGAGTAATAAATGAATAAATAAATAATTATCTTTATTCTCAAGTTATGAAGTTAACATGAGAGAAGCCAGTTTACAGGCCTCATCAAATTGATGATTGCAGAGAAACATAAAAGGTTTTAGCAGTATAGAATAATGCAGAGGGAGGATATTAAACTCTATCATGATACAAAGTGTCTAAATGTTATGAAAGTAGCAGGAAAATATCACTTTACAGTACATACATATCATTCTGAGTTTAGGTCATTTCTACTCACAATCCTTTCTTCAGATCAAAAGGCGCAATATTTGGTGTTTGCGTTGTGAGTAGTTGACATGATTGACCCATCTACAAGACCAATTGTTTTGTCAGATAAACGTCTATTTTAACAGCAATTCTTATGTTCGTAGATTTATTGACCAACAGTAACTTATTTCAATGATTTCAGGAATAAGTAAGTATCCAGACAATCATTTAATCAAGGTAAATGTCTAAGTTCAGGCGTTTCTCACTCTTCAAGTGTTACCTTTTCCAGCAATTCAGATTGGTAGTACTGAAAACATTTGTTGTGGTGCAAGTAATTAAAGACTGGAAGCATCGTCGTTCAACAGTGGTGAATATTACACATGTGTAAAACTTCATAGACTTCACATTAAAGTATGCAACATTGTCAAGCAGATACATTGGCTGTTAATTGACTTCTATTAGATGGATTGATACAAGACAAAGTACTAGAAAAATCTGTTACATAGAATTATTATGGATGTGTTGCAGTTAGGTAAAGTGATCTGTCGAGTTTGATCGTTTATCCAGATTTCCGCTGCATTTGTCACGCACCAGAAATCTGAGACCAGTTGTTATGCTTGGGGTTTTGTATGTGGTAGCATTTAGGGTACTGGTAGGCAGGTGAGTTGGTTGTTAAGCTGTTCAAGAAACAGAAAAATCAGGGTGAGCCAGTTGGATACCTCTAACATCAGTTTCCAGTATTAGGTACGAAGTAGGATTTCCAGTAAGTTGATACTGTTTGATCAAACTAATGCTTAGGACTTTCTCGTCAGACTGATACTGATGAAACAACCTATTTACAATGATAAATAATGATAAACATTTGATTTGCATTCTATCTAGGGAGAAAAATCAATAAGATTAAGGTGAATATTGATTTTCTAATTTTAGTGGTAACATTTAAAAAATATTCAATTATACTTGGTATTTATTGAAAAGACTATTTAAAGAATAGAAGTTGTTTGGATTTGTGTACACTTTTGATATATTTAATCCATCGAGAAATAAATATATCATGGAATCTAGGCTCACATCAAAATGTATACTACCACCGGATTGTATATCAAGAAAAATTTGTTTCATAATGAATAATATTACTGAATACAATTTAAAAAAGCAAGTTGATGAAGTGATATCAATTATGTCACATCATTTTATTCAATGGTTAGCTGATTTAGTTCTACAACGTGTCATTTCAGAACCGAATCTACACGATTTATACGCTGAATTTGTAACACTTATCTCAGTGCATTATACAAATTTTGGTAAATTTATGTTAGAAATTTTAACTAAAGAAATTGATCATATTTTAAAAATACCAAATCTTAATTCTTGTAATAGTAAAACTTTAAAATATTTAGGTGCATTTCTTGGCCGTTTAACAATTGCACGTGATATTCCTTTATGTGTGGATATCAAATCATTAATTCGTACAACATTTATAAATAAACCAAATTCATTAGATTGTATTATACCATTTATTTCAGAGATATTAAAAAATACAAAATATAGTTATCAAATAAAACCATCCAATCCATGGGTTAGAGAAATATTACAGGTAATCAAAGAACTACATCATATCACAGATAAATTAACGATACAATTTGAAGTTGAACTACTTTTTAGCTTCCTTGAATGCGATATCAATGAAGTGAATTCAGCTTACTATCTTCGTCAACAATAATCATAAATACAGAAAGAAATAATGATGAATTGACTACATGAACAACAACTCAATGGTACATACGTACACCCTTTTTCTCTCTCTCTCTCTCAGACATACATCCATACACATAATCAAACGAATTAATATTCTTCTGAGCCTGATTAATGTGATAAATTGCGCGAAATTGACCAGTTCAAATAATAGAATACTCCAATGAACAGAAAATTGTAGTTTTGTTTTTTGTCTTTCTCCTCTTTTTCCACTTGTATATTGATTTGTATTTGTGTGTATTCGCACTTTTGTGTTTGAAGTAAACAAACAAATGAACATGTGATTATTGTTTAAATTTGTGAAGGTACTACTTTGTGATAATATAATACTATTTATAATAATGAGTAGTGATTGAAAAATATTCGTAATTATTAGTTATGATAAGATAAAGTGATAAAGTATATCGATAATTACTTTCATCCTGAATAGGAAGTTTGCTTATCGTTGAACATAAAACATAGTACGTGATTTAGAAATTAACCGAAAATAACCCAGAAGTGTGTACTTCTACCACTTCTGTAACAAGTTAGTTGGAATACTTAGAGCAAGGTATCTGATTGAGGTATGAATATCTGAGGAAATACTAATTACTTTAAGGTTCCAGATTAAATTTATTGATGACTGGCAACAAGTACAAAGGTTAGGACAAGTCAGAGTTCTTAGCGAATCTATCAGTCGGCTACTTTGCTTTAGAAACTACATGGAAGAGATTGACCTTGACGTTACACTAGAAATTAAAAAGCGTAGGTTGGTTAAAATAGATAACACAACACCTACTGAGTCAGAACCTGATTAAATTGACAAAATGGATAATAACCATTAAAAATATCCAGATTAAGGTCCAACTAAGTGGTGGTACTCTCAGAGCATTAAATGAATATCAACTGACTACAACCTTGTTATTAAACTTTTAATAAATAAAGTGTGTTGATAAAATTCTGAAAGCTACCAATTTTTCGCAGTGATTCAATGAGGAATATGTCTGGCATGTTATTGCAGCATTCGAAAAATCAAGACTTCCAGACCCGAGAAAAACTTAACCTAGATATTGCTTCTGTTCTTTCCGTATGGCTTCATTTTCCGAAGTCGAAGAAACTAGAAAAGAGGGGCTGACACATGGTTATGACTCGACACAAGTACGCACACACTCACTTTAAACTATAATTCCTATTTCCTCAAACCTAATATTTAATTCAGAATAAATTAGCAGTCTCAGTACATCATAAGATGGAGAATATGAAATTCTGAGAGTTAAAATTAATATAATTTTAAAGACTCACGTAGGTTAACTCCTAAAACTCCACATCTGAAAGTGTTTAAAATTTTTTATGCAAAATAACGTGAAAATAATCGCCTTTCACACCCACTCACTTTCCCCTCCGTAAAGGTTAGCGAATAGCCCACTTTCTTTTGACCTGTTGTCGCAATGATATGAAACGAGGATACAGATACTTGACAGGTGAGAGATTGATGACTCATAAAGCAAAGTCAGAATAAGACGATATATTTAACATTCTAAAATCCCCACAGATATCAAACTCTTGCGAAACACTCCGAAAAAGTTTTCGTCAGTTTCGCTACTAGGAGCTTGACAGTCCCTAATTTGTTGTACTCATGTTGTAGTCAATACCTATCTATGACTTGAAAAAAAAGGAAAACGAGTCAACCGAACAAAGCGTATTAGGAAGTTCATAGAAATCGACTAAGGCAAATCCTACATGTATTGGCAAATGTGACAATGTGTGTACAAGCAGAGAGAAATACCATGTCAGAAGGCCAAATTTGTAGTTGATCAACCATATCTGCCTAACAAATCAATGAGTAGTAGCACCTAATGGTCGATGAACCGCTACATATTGATTTTCAGTGTCACTTTCTGCCGCATATGTCTTAAAGCAAAAAATTAAAAGTGTGAATACATATGAAAGTGTTGTGAACAAAGTTAGTCACAGGAAACTCATCAGTAAACCAAGACTATGCAGATGATGTAGTCTTGCTGTTAGGTGAAGGTGCTTGAAAGATACAGTCTCTTAGTTAAGTTGAGTGGCAACTTAAGAATGTTTGTGATACGTTTTTCACTATTCAAATTCGATTGTTGCTCCAGGATTGGTCTGCTTTCGTGCCAGGTCCAACAGTAGAGACTAGAGTGATTGAACGCTTTACTTACTTGCGAAGATGGATCAGTTCTGATGAGTCAGCGATCGGTAAAATCTCAGCATCAATTTAAAGGTCGCTGTTGTAAGCTATACATGTTACCAGCGTGATATTCAGTTGTCCCTTAAGGGTCAAGTGTACTGCACTTCAGTCTACTCTCTTCTACTGTATGCATGTGATAGATGACCATTAAACTTACAAGTAATAAGAAGGCTTCAGACTTTGACTACTGCTATCTTCATAGCACAGGTCGTGTGTCACCCATCAGAATATAGAATTCAGGTGCCGAGTTTCAAGGAACAGAGGAGAGTCAGTTGATAAGGTTGTACACTTTCATCGGTACACGGGGCTGACTGGGGCATGTGTTAGGCGTGTCCAGTCACCGTCTGCCTTGTCGTATAATGTTAGATGAAGTAGGTTCAGGCTGGAAAAGGGTTAGAGGTGACCAGACTAAAAAATGCCATCAGTGCTTGAAGTCGGTGACTGTTGGTCTGAGCCGTATGGGTAAATGCTGACTTCCCTGTTGAAGTCCACATGAAAACAGAAGCATGTAGTTGAAGGCTCTAGGTGACATGTTCATAATCGATATCAATGATATGGACGTATCAACACAATATTCTGATCTGAAACCTCATGTTCAGTTTTGGTTTGCATTATCCCTTCCTGCTCTCTTATGACTTTTTACAGCTTCTTTTTGGTTTCTTCTCTACTCCTCTGTCTTTCATATTAGTATCTTCCACCTTGGTATGTACAACACAGCAGCTTATTTGATTAGGCACTTGCTTCTTAACCGGTGGATCATGTTGTGCAAATCAATTTGTCCTTCTTTCATGATTTTGAAATCAAACTACAAGAGGACTGTAATAAACGAATGAATAGATACAGTCATGGAGATGTCAACTTATCATCAGCATACCAACTGAAACATGTATATAAGTTTTCTTCTAAGATGTCTCCTACACAGTAGGTTTGTACGTTACTGTAATTTAATATAACAAATAATATTCTCGCTTTCCATTTCATAATATAACCCTCTACGTTATGAACTTCTTTTCTTATTTCATCCTTTGAGAATTTAATATAAGTATCTGACCACTGACCTTATAAGTGATCCGTTTCGCATAGGCGGTTACTGTCCGAGATTATGAGTACCAATAATTCACGACTATGCTTCCATGCTATTCATGTAAACTAGAATTACGCTTGTAAAACTATCGAATAAGATAAACGGAAACATGTAGGAACTTAATTATTTTGGTCTATAACCGTAAATATATGTTACAAAGTTTGCAATGGTCATTCCACATCTCTGTTCTTCGACGTATCGACTACGCGCTGTTCATCCACCAGAAATGAAAATGTAAAATGCGTTAGTAATGATTAACAGACACTTCAAAAATTAATTTTGTCCTGAGATTTTAAAATACAGCTTATTATTGCACACTTGTCTGCTTGTAAGAAAATGCGACGATTTCAGTCTACAAGCGACTTCCCTGCTGTGTTGCTGTATGTACCACTGATGATACAAAAACATTTATTATCGCATCTTTCGTTGTTCCACGATGTTCCATTTTACCTTGAACATTTGTGTATTTTGTGTCTTTACCTCATCGTGGGAACTTACGCGCGTATTTCATGTCCCTTTCTTCGTGGAACGTGGTGGGAACTTCCAGGTGGTGGACAAAAGAAACCTCTGCTAAGCATATGAACACTTTTTTTCTTACTTGTTTCTGGTTGTGATATTTAATCAACTAACCCCAATGTCAACATGCCTAGGCCTTTGGAAGTGGAGAAATCTAAGGAAACCCTACATTTACGTAGTTCATCCTCTGAAGATGGTGAATTAGATGAAATAGAGGACCGAATAAGGAAACTGAAGTTGTGGGGAAACAAGTTACGAAGGATTAAGAGAAAAGAAAGGTCAAGTGAAGCCTATTTAGCTTATGACAGCGCCAAGGAGCATGGAACTCGGTTTGAACACCTCAAAACTGTCAGCGTAAACCACTTCACCAATCGCCACACGCCAGGTTCTTATAGTGCAACCTGTGTTCAAGAATACCCAAGATTGAGAGTGATAAATTTGACGACTCACCAATGAAGTTTTGTAAATCCAAAAAGTTGCTTTGGCATGTTTATTGGTAGCCGAATTCCGGACAACACTCAGAAGTTGATACAACTCGTGCATTATTGCATTGGACCTACCAAGGAAGGGATGGAACACTGCATCTTTTTGCCTGATGATGAATGTTATGAAAAGGCTTTGGAGATATTCAGCAGTCGATCTAGTAGATTTCACGAGATTTGAAGCTTCCTTTTAGGACTTGGTGTCTGGTCATGCTTACACCCTGAAGATTTAGCAGGATTGCAAAGGCTTGTAAACCAAATGGTCAGTTGTGAGGTTATCCAGCTTCATATGAACGGAATTGTTCAAGCAACCCTGAATGCATCGTAGGACAACTGACTTGACATCTTCAGCTTAAGTGGTCTGAGTTGTCATGTGATATTATACAACACTCAGAACGCAGGCTTCAAGATTTGTTGAGTTTCTGCAAAGGCGGACTGTGGTAGCCGTAAGTTGCTATAGTCTAATAGTCAATAGTGACAGGGAAGGTGATAATGATGTGGCCACAAATTCAAGAGTTACATCCCATCGAGTTACACGCTAACTAGTCAAAAGGAGACCACCTGCTCGGAGGATCACCATCGATATGAGTGTCGACGTTCGGACGCCAAGAGGACAGGTTAGCAACTTTGAAGTGTCATAAATTGCGTATAAATTGTTTTAAACCGAACCACTGAACTATTGAGTTTCG